TCTTGTTACTACTAGTAAGGCCAGGAGCCCCTAGTAGCTTCTTGCTCGTAGTAAGGCACTTGTTTCCAATAAGGCCAGGAGCCCCTAGTAGCTTTTTGCTCCTAGTAGTAAGGCACTTGTTTCTAATAGCTTCTTGTTACTACTAGTAAGGCACTTGTTACTAGAAGCGATGCACTTGTTCCTAGTAGCTTATTGTTTCAAAAAGCACTGGTGTCCTGTGCAGTTTTTACATACATCTGCATGTTGGCCTCAGCGAGCGACACTTGTGGCTACAGTGTCCATTCACATGCTGGCCATCTCACCCTTTTTTGCGCCCCCCTGCCCCTTTTATTGTGAGTCAGGAGTAAACTTGCCCACATTCGGCTTCGTTTGCTCGCTTGACCGTTTGCCCGTCCGTTTGTTTTTGACAATCATTGCTGTTTATGCTTGTTTGGTATATCTTCATGCTTACTTGCTTGCCTGGGCTTGCCTTTGCCTCCACTCCTCTCCTTCACTCAATATGACCTGCAAGGGAGAACAGCGGGGGGTCTTCAGAACAGCCGGGCTTTGCCAAGTCTTTTCAGGGACAGATGGTGTAGTACTAATCGAAAATCCTTGTCAAAAAACTAATTCTTTTGTCTCAAATTATGGTCATATTCACTGAGTATTGATCCTAAATTAGCAGTTGTACAACGACTTGCTCTATTCACTCATTACTAGTAACACGAAGCTACTAGTAGCTCCTGGCATTGCTACTAGGAACAGGAAGCTACTAGCAGCAAGGTGCAACTACTAGTAACTAGTAGCAAGCTGGTCCGTGAAATCGATGATTTTCATGGGTTGCCGAGCTGTCGTTGACTCCCTTCGTCCTCCTCCCCGGGTGAAGTGGACCCACAAGATTCACGTGGTTTCTCGGCGCCGAAGGCGCTACTTTGCGCGCTTGGTGCTCTACTTGGCCATCAGTGATCTTTGGCTTTGTACTTCCTTTCTCATGGGTCCTGGCCTCAGGTGAGGTCCAATTCGGAGTGGACAGCCAGCGTAGTCATCGACTTCTTGCATGAGCCCAGATGAACTTGCCTAATAGGATGCGAAAAAGATGGAAATAGCCTTCTGGTTGGTAGGAGGGGGTGCTTTGAAAGTCTGAAAATAACTGTGGACACCTCTGGGAGGTGCAGACTCCAATCAAGCAGCTTGTCAGGTGAATTTGAACGTCCGCACTATACCAAGTGTGTGGTGCAGTCAATGTTAGGCGCAGCTTTGAGCCTCTCTGCTTTCGAGGTTGACCTCGATGACCGTCTTGTACAAACTGTTTTTGCATGGAGAAGCTGAGATGTGTCAAAGACCTTGGTGATCAAGCTCCTAGATGAGTGCGACCAACATGTTCTAACTGAGTCGCGCAGACACACAGTTTTGGAGCTGCGAAAGGCATCATGGGTTGCTTATTTAAAGAGGGCACCCCAAATGTATGAACAGCCAAGTTTATGTTAAACAAACCCATCTCATCTCTTTTTCCCACAAGGCTCACCTTTGGCAGGCATCTTCTTTGGCCTGTCTTCCGTCCTGTGGACTGTGGCCATTGCAGACTCCATCCGCCGACCGGGTTCCCAAAGAGGGATGAGACAAGTTACAGTTGAGTCACGCTCTTTGTGCAAGAAGGTGTTGCAGGATTCCTTCACTGAACTAGTGAAAGCAGTGGACCTCCCATAGAAGCAGAACTATCAAAAGCAAAAGCAATTAAAACAGCTTTTACAATCATGTAGGGGAATCGGCTCCAGCGAAGCAAGATCATGCCATCTCAACTCGTGTTCTTCAACTGGAATCCATGTGTACAGATTTCTACTCGAGACAGGTAATACTCAACGAGTAGCAACACCTGATGTGACAAAATCAATCAACATCATAGAACAAAGGCAGCTCAGAGACTTTTAAATACGCCGAAAGTGGAGTGGTTCGAAAACATATAGAGCCATCAGTTGCAGTCATCGTACAGCCATCGTAAAGCCAACACAGGCATGGTGTACTATGTGTACTCTTTAAACCTCGTACAGCTATCCGTTGCCGAGGCATCGTCATGGCTCGAGATTTGACGGTGGAGAGTCGGTTTGGGGCACCCGGAAGTGGCACATTTGGTCGGTACACTAATTCTAATAGCTTCTTGTTCCTAGTAGCGATGCACCTGTTACTAATAGCTTCTTGTTACTACTAGTAAGGCACTTGTTACTAGTAGCGATGCACTTGTTCCTGACCATGAAAGTGGAAAATGGCAATGGCATCTTTCAAGACTCTATTGGGTTGGCCATCGCTAGTAGGGTGGAGGCCATCGCTCTATTTGGTCGGAAGACTACTTTCCTTCATTTAGACATGGCAAACTGGACCTGGTAGATGAAAGTGGATGGCATGGCCCCGAAAGGAAGACGACTTTCCTTGACAAACAGGGGGTGCGTTTTCCACGTAACCATGTGATGTGTTCGGAGTGTAGATGAGGCACCGTGACACACCGAACTCAATCGAATGGTCTGCACATCATGGTGGACATGGAGACATGGCGAAGTCTTGGACCTGGTAGACATGGTGGAACAAATACATGACAAGACCCCAGGACCCATGTTTTGAGCCATCCCACTTTGGTGGAAAAAAAACATGTATCGAAAAACAAAGAACATGTGCAGAGTCAAATGAGACCCTGTCACTCAAAATTGGCTGTGACGGAGTGTGGTGAAATCATTTGATCAGGGTAGTGCGTATCCTTGCGTGTCTCAGTGACTCAAGGCATGAGAAGCGGCTTCATATAGTGAGCTGGGGCGCGGGTGCTCAACACTTGGGAGGGCTCAACGACCACTCAGCCCTGAAGAGTTGAACCTGCCCCAACAACGAGTCAGATCCACCATCAAATAGAAAGAGTAAGGTGCCAGTTCATTGCAGACCCTTTTGGAAGATGCTTTTGACCAAGTCTCTACCTGACGAAGGATCCCCTCCCTCTCGCTCTCTCTCTCAATTTATACAAATATATAGTAAATACATATACAGTACGCACATGTAATAATTGACAACTTTTAGCTTCCAGCATTTTTCCAACTGTTGAATTTAGTTTAGATTAGATTTGTTCATCTACCATTGGACTTCTCCCCAACCATGAGCAGATGCAGGAACCAACATCACAGAACACTCACCTCGATCTCCGTCATTTTTGCCAGGCCCACCGCAGCCTGCCCCAGGCCCCAGCTTCCTTCTTTCAGTCCCCACGAGGCTTGCCCTTGCTGGCCCTGGGCACGGTGCTGCTCTTGGGCGCTTCGGGCCCCAGCGGCATGATCTGCTGGCACGGCCCCGCTGTGTTCACGAGTGTCAACTGAGTGGGGAAGACGAAACCATATGGAAGTCGTGGAATATCACTATATGAGTCTAAGTGGAACCACGTGGAACATCGGAGGTGAAGATTTGGTTCTGGTCCTGGTTGCCTTGGAGTGTCCAGTGATGTTTCAATCCCAGGCTGTCGTGGGGATCGCGTCGTTTTATCCCTGCACGTTTTGACTGTTCTATTCAGCTGGGGTTTCTCAGGCACCTAATATATACCATACAACCATATACAACCTGTGTTGGTTCACAGGTTTGCAGAAGGGAACGGGAATGATTTGCGTTTCAGAAAGAAACTTGTGTCGAAAGACCCGAACAAAGTGGACCCTCAGATCCCGATCTTTTGAAACCCATTTGCCCTCTGACCTAAGATGATTTTGGAGGACTCCAGCACTGTAATCAGGATGATGTTAGGGTCAGAATGGACAAAATACATTTGTTAGCACTGGTGGCTTTCCACCTTCTTTGGAATGAGTGCAGTGAGACTCCTTGACCTGGCAGGATTGAGAATTCCGCCTTGGGCACTGTCTTGCGTGGCTCGGAATCACGATGACATGGTAGACGACGTGCAGTTCTCGGCATAATGTTCTGGCAAAGGTCTGCGCAGAGGATCATGGCGCCATTGTTGATGATGCCAGGGCGGCCCTTCTAACTTGAAAAAGAGCTCTACGGGCAAGGGTGCGTCGAGTTTCAATCCACCTTTTGAAAAGGAGGCAAGGGGCTACTCTGATTGTATTGACTATCAGAGCCACGAGGCTATTCACCACTGGAGCATGTCAATGCTCCAGATCCTAGAGCATCCAAATGGAAAAGATCTCTATACCATGTTTCACTCTGATGAACAGGCGTTTTCCAAAGTCCTAGACACCCACACCTTTGCAACAGCGTGGTGCCAAGCAGCTAGCTGCCGCCTGCGCAGAAATGATGATTATTGAACAGGGTACCTCGTGATTACGAAAGTCATATTTGAATGACGAAATCAAGATCTTTACGAAAGCCAGGCGATAGGCTTGGCTGAGTCCTCGATGGGCGAAGAAGTGAGCAATAGTGGGGGGTGGTAGTGATAGTGAAAATGTAAGGGCCTTAGTGTGATGTGATGCAAATGGTGCTAAGTAGTGCATCGTTAGCATCACAAAGTGCTTAGGAGACTCTTAAAGTTGTCTACTGAGGTGAGCTGAACAGGTGTGTGAGTCCAGGTAGAGGGAGACCGAATGCAGGAACCTCTAAGCTTCAAACTCTCAAAGGGACAGCGTTCCGGAAACGCTGCGCGGAAGTTCCCATATGAGGCGCCCTTTTACCTACCAAAAAAGTTCAAAATGCAACAAATAATACTAGGAGCAAGAAGCTACTAGGGGCTCCTGGCATCGCTACTCGGAGCAAGGATGCTATTAGGGGCTCCTGGCCTTACTACTGGGAGCAATGTTCGCCACTAGGAACAAAAATGCATAAGGGGACCGCACAGAAGCAGATGCAAAGACACTCCACGCCTCGACGTCTGTGAAGGACCCATGGCCGCTCAGCACATCGGTTAACAGGGTCTATATCTATGTCTGACCGAACAGAAGACGATTCAGAAACTAGCTCCGATTCAGAAACTACGATTCAGAAACTTGCGATTCTGAAACTACAGAGTGTCCCGATTCAGAAACTCACCCGATTCAGAAACTAGCCGATTCAGAAACTGGCCGATTCATAAACTATCCGATTCAGAAACTGGGGGGTGGGGGGGGTGGGGTGGGGATCTAATGAAATGTTTGTGTTGATGTAGCGTGGACATATTCGTATTTCACTTTTAGTGTCCGAATCCTAGTTTCCGAATCCGCACTCCTTCTAGTTTCCGAATCCTAGTTTCCGAATCCGCGATTCTAGTTTCCGAATCCTCCGTTGACCATGTCTGACCACTGCTAGCAGAAACTCAACCAGATGATGTATTGACCTATGTGGAGCCTGTGTTTGGCATCTCTAACATAGATGCCTTTATTGGCCGCATCTCAGTTTACAAGGTGGGTAGGAAACCAATAGGCGCGGACCATAGGGCATGGTCTGATTTGCACAACACTGGGGTAATGTCCGTCTGCAAGGAATCCATTTGGTTTGAAACTAAGGGCTACACGTTCAAATTCCTGCTCATGCAAAGTGAACAAACAACTCCCAAGCGTTTATCGTTAAGGGTGCTTTTTTTTAACCGAAAACGGGTCCTAAACCAAACGAAGAAGGGCCCCTCGAACAGGGATATCCAAAGACTTGAACGTTTGTACAAGCGCCTGAAACCCATGCCATCTATCCTATAACCAATAACTATTATATAACCGTAAACAAGTGTTACTAAAGGCCTTCAAAGAAGTACAGCCCTTGTGTATACTGGCTCTATCATATCAAGCGTCAATGTGAAACTTTGCATATCTCTGCCTTCTCTTGTCCCGTGCCTACATCACCTCTAAATATCTCAATCCGTACAGAGGCTGGCTTTCGTCCCCTCCCTTCTCAGGTAAGATCACTTAGGAGGGATGACCGAGTTAGTCGACATCTTCAATGCCCAGCGCACAGTTGTGCACAGGGTATTTTCGTCGAGTGCTTGCTTGGAACCCCTTCTGCAGCCACGACGGTTGCAAAAAACGGTTTGCATGAAGGATTGGTCGGTGTCCAATATTTTTTTGCGTTAATAGTTAATAGCGACGGCCTCCAACCTCATAGCGATGGCCTGACCTAGGCCTCTCCACCTTCTATTTGCCCCTTTGGTTGGCGATCGCGTACTCGCTTTGGGCCGCTTGGCCGTGCAACACTTGGCCGCTGGATTTTGACTGACCAAAGAATCCCTGTTTCCAGCATGTTCCAGCTATATCCGCGGAACTGGATGATGTTTGTCACGGAGTTCAATCAAATCCTTTGCATTCTAGCGCACCAGTTGCATGTGCTGCGCCTTCCTTTTTGTTGGGAGCTGAAGTGGAGAACATGGTGGACCCCCAAATTGGACGTCGCCGGGACTCTTTGTCCAGGTCTACTGGTGTGTCTCCCAGCGCCTGAGCCATTTGCTGGACGAAGTCGCGTCGAGCCTCTCGATGCCATCGCAAGTGAGAACTGGTTGACTACACATACCCAACTCAACCAGAAGAACTGTGCCAAAACATGCCCAAACTGTCCAAAACGGTACGCATGACAAGATACTTCACATTAATTCTGCACTTCCTTGTATCGAAATAAACTCATACCTTCAACAATGCAGCAGTTTCTATTTTTTTGACTAGTCTAGTCATCGACAACGATGCACCAGCCCACATGTGCCACATGTTCACATAATTACCAATCCTGGCTGAGGTAATGCTGATGAATACGAAGGAACAGCCTTTGAGTACCACAAGGTCAGCGGCGCAAGCGCAACTGATCACCTCGGAGCCACCGAAACTCGACAGCGTCGTCATCGCCGATTTGTCGAAGGACCTGGAGCGGCAACGGCGGTCCTTGAGGCTGCTGATGTTGCTGCCTTTGATCTTAGTGTTTTGCTGGTCACCAAGCTCTTTGCGCAGGTGGGGCGATTCTGCTGGGGTTTCATAGGAGGTGTGTGAGGGAGTGAGGGCCTTATGAACTGCAGCTAAGAGTGATTAAACATGCTTTTTTTTGCTCAAGATGCAAAGAAGACACTGCAAACATTTGCAAACTTAGAGTTCCACAGAAAGGGCTCTTTGCAGGAGCTGATCTAGGATATCCAGGTCTTTGCCTTTGTTCCAGGTGCGGTCAGAAAGAAACCCATGCTCAGATTGACCCAACCCGGTTCGGTTTTCCATTCTATCGGTTTCATTAAAGTGCCCTCATGCCTGGCGGACACCAGGTCCTGCATATGAGCAACCACCAACACAAACCATGACCAATTTGGCAAAGGGCAGTCGTGAGATATAAAAGTTCTTCTGAAAAAAAGGGTAGTAGCTAGAAGCTACTAGTAACAAAGGCATCGCTACTAGTGACAAGGGCATTACTACAAGTAGCTACCAGTAACCATGTCAATGTAATTTTCGTATTGTAATAACGCAGTGTTCCAAGGTTAGCTGGGGCACTAAAAAACAAGCGATAGCCAAAAGCGATAACCTTGCCGTTCCATGTCCCCTTCATTGTCCAGTGGTCTTTGGATATTTGCAGACACTCATATATTAATATTGGTGGGCTTTGGTGTGCAAGTCCTTACGTGGATGAGACGAGCAGCCAGGCTTTTAGACGTGATCTTTCCGCACATGGGCAGATCAGTCTTAGATTATGTGCAGCGCGCTGAGATTGTTTTGCCACTTGTTGCTCTGGCTCACTGCCTACCAGTCATGCAGACCTGAATGCTGACCTTGCAAGCCTGAGATCTGATGTTCGAAAATGGTCCCAGCACATCATCGGACTTTTGCCGATCTTCCGTGCGCAGCTCTGCTGAGGTGTGTTTTTACTGGTCCATTGCAGGGCTTTCTCAATGCCCTGGTCTATGGCTCGACTCCAGCTGTGCGGGATGCCATCACAGGCAGTAAGCCAGTAAGCCAGTAATTTAAGTAAACTCGCAATTCAAGAATTGCTGTAAGCCGTAAGCTTTTTTCATGCCCATTGTGTTTTGTTTAGGATTGATTTCTTTTGATCAGGCGGCTTGTTCAAAAGTGGCGACTGCTGAAGAAAGAATCGACTTGCCAGGCCGTTTCGACCATGGTGCTGCGAAGCTGAAGGGATTAAAGTCCCAGCTGCGGATGCTGCGACGGAAGAAGCGGAACTTCCAGAACTTGGAGGAGGATCACTTTTGACCTTGGTAGGTTGACCTCCCTTGTAGTCCATTCTGTTCACACGCAGACGATCCGGTCAGCTAGGAAAGTCGCATCCACGACTCACAGATCAGTGAATGCACAAGACACCCAAATTAAAGAGAGCTACAGAAAGCGTTCGACAGGGAACGACCACGAATCAGCCGAGCGACCAGCCCCACCAGCCAGCACTCGACAAAATTTAACAAGTTCGCCTGGGGCGAAAAAGGGGAGAGAGCCCACCAGTGCGCCCTGGGGCAACACTTTGCCTATACATTTGGTGGCCCTGGCAGTTGGCACCCCCGGGAAAGCCATGTGCGTCTTTGAGATCGCAACAATGCATCTACGCAACTGAAGGACAAGGTCTTGAAAATGGTCCTCACGGCAGCGAAAATGATGTCCCCTGACAACAAACAGGAAGGCCAATTCCTGATATGTACACATCACATTGTCTGCAACGAGCCACCTAAGTGACTTCCCAAAGGTCATGAAAACCTGCCAATCGGAGTTAGACAGATCAACCTTGGGAGGACAGCCTGAATCCAAAGGGTTCCACAGGAAAGAAAAGTCAGCTTCACTGTTGTACCAAGCAAGGCCGGGGTAAATTGTACGGAAGTCATTCTCCGAAACCGCACGAGCTTGCATAGGCGTGTCAGTAAATGAGGCAGAACATTCAAATCCAATATACCGATTCAAGTCCGTTAGTATGCGTTGCTTCCGGAGGATGGCATCTTGAAGCAAGTTTTTATCCTCAGGTGCAACAGCACAGCGAGAGCGGGCAAATCTCTTCGCAACTGTATCTGCAAGCCGATTAAGCTCAATGTGCTTTCTTGTAGTGCCCGCCGCAAGAATCAAGGAAGCGGGGATCGCGGAAACTGGCAAATCATCACCAACGTGTGCTGGGATCCACGTCAAGAGCAACACAGGCTCAGTTGCCAGGAGGCTCCTGGACTCAATAACCCTGTGCAAAACTTTCCACCATTCGATGTGCAAGCAGTTTTCAGGAATGTTGCCAGTCTGGACCAGGTGGTTTACCTGGTTAACAACTTCCTTGCAGTCGCTGTAAATATGAAGAATGCAGTCGGACTTCAAAGTAGCAACAATAACCGCCCACAACTCAGCAGAATAGGAAGAAAGGCAAAGATGAGAAACTGTACCAGCATCAAAGATTTGTCCTTCCTCATCAATGGTTGCAAATCCAGCAGCTGTAAGGGGGAAAACTTCTCCCCATAGCACAGAGCCATCAGACCACAAAGAGCGTGAACTAAACGGTCGGTGAAAAGCTTGGACAGGAAGTCCATCAGCTCGATCCACATGTAGTCGATGCCGGAGAATGGCATTTGGGTGTTCCACAATACCAAGCTGATGGAAGTTGGGCCCGAGCTCATGATCGGGCCCAGCAGGAAATTGAGACCTTGCTTGTGGACACTGTAAAATGTGTACCAGTGATTCTTTGACGGATTCACAAAATCGGCAAAGCGGGGAGTCAGAAAATTTTGCTGCAAATCTGCGATCATTTGTGATGGTGCACCCAACTAGTTGTGCTTCAAAATGAGTGAGCAGTGGGGGCGAAGTGGAGTCTCGCACACCTTTTTGAGTCCCAAACATCTTAGAATGAAAGGAATCAACGAAGCCAGTCGGCTTGAAGAAGTCCTTACGATTCAAGTTGGCCGGATGAGCATAATGCATTTGGATTGCAAGCTGCTTCAACAGCGGTGCAATGTCACGAACCGAGAGGTCTTCAAGCTTAAGATCCAGGTGACCCCAAATATGTAAATGGAACCTAGCATCAATGGAGATACCAAACGCAGCGAAAGCCTGACGAATCCCTGTAAGGAGTGAAAATCTTCCCTGGGTAGGCTGATGCGCAAGCCTACCGCATCTATCAATGGTGTCATGTTCATGATGCAAAAACCGCAAAAAATCCATGATGGCACAGAAGGCCCGAGCTAAAAACGGGTCAACTCGATGCGGCGGGGCCAAAAAACCCAGGACCAAGTGCTTAGCCCGCCAGTGCGGGCGGTTCCCCCACAAGACTTGGGTGATTTCAGCTTGGATTTTATCAAGGGAAGTTTTAGGCACCTTAGATAAGTGAGAGGCAAAACTGCACTGCGGAATCACCTTGGCACCAATGAGCTGCGCTTTGATTTTGCGAGACAAAGGAAGAGCCCCAATATTACGAATGTCAAGGAGGATTTTATGGGTCTTCTCCTCAGAAAAGTCAAAGGCATTACGCTGGGAAGTGTAGATTTTAGTGCCCAGCACATCAATGGTTTCCTGAAGCATAAATTCCGGAAATGACATACGAATGCTTTGCCGGCCTGCCGAGTTCGAGGCCCATGCAGCCGATTTACCTTCGTTAAGTTTCTGCCCAACAAGGGCATCCCACAACTTAGTGACCTCAAGTGCTGTTTTAAGGCCAGCAATATGCTGGATTTTTCGCACACAAATAGATATCGTCGATGTAGATACGACAAGAAAGATTGGGAATATCTCTCAAGAAAGCTACCCACGAGTACATGTAGGCGTTAATAGCAATTAGAGAAAAGGAGCAACCCTGAGCCACCCCATTCGGTGAGGTGGTGGGAGTACAAGCGGTCCATGCTTACACAGCCCAGTATACTGGCGGACAAAAATGCTTACAACATGCTGAGGACAGCAAAGAGCAAGCAAAATTATGGCCACAAAAGCTGGGACTATACGATCAAAGCACTTACTCTTATCAAGTTTAAGGCCAGCGACCGTGTCATGCTGCACCTCGGCTTCATCAAGGTCCAGTCTCAGAGTAGCAGGGATGTCAGTCATATGCCGGCCGGCAATTCCCCCAACAATGGAGGCTGGCATGATGGACGCCTGCCATTCCTTAGCTTGCCGAAAACGGGCTCCAGTGTAAGCAAGCAGCAAAGGAGGCAAGATCGTAATAAGCCTCTTATTGAGGGGAGAGGAGGGGCCTGGCTTATTAAGGATGACCAGTTTGGCCTCTATCAGAGCTCTTGGAAGGGAATGGTCAACCTTCAGTTCAAGTCGTTTGAAAAAGGCCGCTATCAGTTCACACACAGCCAGAGGAAACTTTTGCAATTCAGTAGTCCGCCAACCATCAAGCCCAGGGGCAGCATTTGGGTGGCGCCTCTGGAGAGTCTCAAAGATAGCAGCTCCAGTGAGGGGCGGCGGAGTCCATGGCTTATTCTCACGAGAGAGGTAGGGCCAAAGCGCCCTCAAGACTTCAACAGGGTCGTCATGACCAACATTTACTTCAATCTGCTCTCTGTTTGCGCAATTAATTTCAACTTGAAGCCAAAGGTGGCATTCATGCAAAGCCAAGAGGTTAGGACAACGACAGCCCCGGAAATCATAGGGGGCTTTGAGGTTTTGCAAAAGCCTGGCCAACTTGGCAAGAGCATTGTGCAGAATATCGCACTCCATGTCCGTTAGCCTACTCTTAGCCACCTTAGCTTGAATATCGAAAATCTTGGCCCGGGCATTGTAAAGCCAAGAAAAGCGCAAATTAGTCGCTGATCCTGAACTCTGCTGCCCTGGACAGTATTGTTTGAATCTAAACACAGGGGGAACAGCTCTTTTCTGAGAGCCAGGTTTCCAACAAGCGCCCGCATCCAGGAGGTGGAAACAGCAAATTGGTTGAGGTCACACCAAAGCTCTTCAGGGTTCTGTCGAGTGAAATTAGAATCGAGGTCATAGTCCCAACTGTCAAGGGTCGGCTGGTAGTCTTTGGGGCACGACGGCTTATCAACTTGGGAAACATCAAGCGGGGCAAACTTAACATGGACAGGTCCTACATGGAAGATGGAGTCCCAATGAAAGGTTGCACGAACAGGACGATGTTGCTTGTGAAACCCATCAACAGTGGCAATTTCTTTCAAGCAGGAAAAGGCAACCTGGTTCAAAAGCATGCCATCAATTGAGGAACAATGCTCACCAAAAGCCGTAAACGTGCAATCACGGCTGTAGGTAAGAGGCCGATCGAGAGATCCGTCATCATGGTGGGAAGTGAGTGGATCATACCAATTGGCAAAATGCGTCGCAGCCGCAACCGAAGGGTATTGCATTGGTGGAAGCTGAAAGTCCCCAATGACCAGAACCGGAATTTCGCCAAATTGGGCAGCAACTTGAAACACATCAACAAGGAGACGGTCATTGAACTGCAGAATGTCATGATCGGCAGAAGCCCCGGACTTAGCATAGAGGTTAAAGATCAAAATCTTCAGTCTAGGTTGAACCTGGTGCCAAATAGCCTGAACCCGCTTGGAGTGGAAAAGGCCTTTATAGAGTCCTGTGGAGTCCTGGCTCTCCTCAAACGGAGAGGTGGTAGTGCTAGAGGCAAGCGTGGCAACACCACCATGAGAGGTAGAGCCACTACCATCAGATCTAAACAAACCAGGGAGCAAGTCTCCAAGAATCGGGTTCTTCCCAGCGGCAAGTGCCGATTTCGAGGCATTCCGAAAATTGTTGCGACCGATACGAGTTTCCTGGAGACAGACAACACTGTCTTGCCAACCCTTCCAGGTATCATAATTGAAGAAACTCCCAATATTAGAAGAGATGATAGACCACAATTGGGGTGGTCCTTCACCAGGATAGCCTGGGGTCGAATCAAAGACACGGTAGCCCCACGGCTTCCAGCGGCAAGCAAACAAAGCAAATGATTTTCCTGCGAGTTCATGGTCGTTCAAAACTGTAGCTCTAGAGATGCACTTGAATTGGAGTGCGAAAAGGGGCCACCCACGGACACCAAGAGTGCAGGACAGCATACAGAGACAGTGAAGCCAATGCAAGCCGAAAGTCCAGTCGGGCGTCAAGGAGTAGCCCAGAGAGATGGCTGAGGTTGGCAAGTCCAAAAGGAGAGAGTGATATATGGCGCGATTGGCACAACACCTCGAACGGAAACTTGCCTCCCCAGGGAGAAACCCAAAAGGGAGGGCCACGAGAGGCAGCCCAGACAATGAAGCGCTCATTGTACAGACCCCAAAAACGAA